GGTCAACTTTATGGTTACCAACATTCTTCAAAATCTTCTTTTGTGTTCAACAGCTGAAAGAAATACATACAGGTTTGGAACAAACTGAGAGTGAGTAAAAGGTGGGTAAAACAAAAACCTTTGATATTCAACATAATATAATGTCTTTTCAGAGACACAAAATTAGTTCAATGAACCTAAAAAAAATGTCATTGAGTTTTATGGCATCTGCAAACAGTGATTGACTTTTGCAATCTTTTACAACTTTGAAAGCAATTCAATGACGTCAAGGCTATAATGTGATTTACTCAATGCTGTCATCACACATCATTTATTTTTTAATTTGTCAGCGACACACAAGTAAAACGTTTTTACATTTGTTAGTACATCATAGGTCAAAGCACAATCCAACATGGTAGGTGTAATATGTTCAGGAATGTATTACTACACACCTGTGATGTTCTTCAGTCAAGAATTCATGTCATCATATTCTGTACATACTGTGAAGGTACAGGAATTCAGACACAGCCATTGACTCTAATACACCTCAGCTGGGTGTAAAGTCACGAGTTAAAGCTCAGTGCATGATGAAATTGACTTTCGAGTCACACTCTTGCTGGGGAACCTCAAAATTCAAATCGTGCCACTTGTTTTCTTTGGCTATTACATCATGGAAGCCTGCCAAGACCATCAATCCCGTTGACTGCTTACAGAAGGTTAACATGTCACCTACCATAACGCTTGCTTCAGCACTCGTCCTTTTAGTGGGCGTCTCACACTTTGCACCAATCCAGCAAAGGCTGCGATGTCAGTGCTGATGACAAACAGCCATAACTACACAGCCGTTCTCAGCAAAAATCATCAATCGTCTTGGGGCTTACATGGTGAGTGTGCAAGTCACCTGTACCTTTGCATATATATTTCTCTCTCATAAAATGCACTTGAGCACTGCTGACAGTCGAAACTATCTAAGCTTTTCTAATTATCTCATTCCTTCCATGGTTCAATTCAACCTACAGCTCCAGATGAACTTGGATCTACATGCACTGAACAAGCCGAACAACTGCCTGGCGTGTAAATTGTGGATGTTTAAGTCACAAGCATTCAGCTTAGATGTTTAGATGATATGATCCCTTAAGATCACGACCTTTACACATTACTGTGCTCTGAAAATCACATCTACAGTTCTCGGAGGTGCGGCATGCTTTGATGCCTGTCAGCTGAGAAATGCACTCGCCTGCCTTCAAGTGCAGTGATGACATACACACGGACACAGACAAAGTGCTCGGACCACTCGAGTGCTCAGTGTCAGGAGCTGACCTTGGCTGTACATTTGAAAAACACATTCCAAACAAAACCGAGTCCTAGTTCTCTGCTGGCCACTCGATTATCCAGTTACAGTATCTCACAGAACTGAGTACGCCCCTCACATTTTTGTAAATATTTTATTGTATCTTTTCATGTGACAACACTGAAGAAATGACACTTTGCTACAATGTAAAGTAGTGAGTGTTCATTGGTATAACAGTGTAAATTTGCTGTCCCCTCAAAATAACTTGACACACAGCCATTAATGTCTAAACTGCTGGCCACAAAAGTGAGTACACCCCTAAATGAAAATGTCCAAATTGGGCCCAATTAGCCATTTTCTCTCCCCGGTGTCATGTGACTCATTAGTGTTACAAGGTCTCAGGTGTGAATGGGGAGCAGGTGTGTTAAATTTGGTGTTATCGCTCTCACTCTCTCATACTGGTCACTGGAAGTTCAACATGGCACCTCATGGCAAAGAACTCTCTGAGGATCTGAAAAAAATAATTGTTGCTCTACATAAAGATGGTGTAGGCTATAAGAAGATTGCCAAGACCCTGAAACTGAGCTGCAGAACGGTGGCCAAGACCATACAGTGGTTTAACAGGACAGGTTCCACTCAGAACAGATATGCAAAAGAAATCTATCAGATGTGCAAAAGAAATCTATCGTATCTCTTGCTCTGGCTACTGTGTATAGACCACCAGGGCCGTATACAGATTTCCTAAAAGAATTTGCAGATTTCCTCTCAGACCTATTGGTTACTGTTGATAAAGCGCTAATTGTCTTAGATTTTAACATTCACGTGACGTTGATAATACAAATGATGCATTAGGACTTGCGTTTACTGACCTAATAAACTCTTTTGGAGTCAAGGAAAACATCATCGGGCCCACTCATCGTTTTAATCATACGCTAGATTTAATTATATCACATGGAATTGATCTGACTGATATAGATATCGTACCTCAAAGCGATGATGTTACTGACCATTTCCTTGTATCGTGCATGCTGCGTATTACTAATATTAACAATATGGCTCCGCGTTATCGTCCGGGCAGAACTATTGTTCCAACCACCAAAGACAGATTCGAACTCCATGCCCAAGAAGGTTAAGGCAGTGCTGGAAAATAAGGGTGGGCACAAAAACATATTGACACTTTGGGCCCAATTTGGACATTTTCATTTAGGGGTGTATTCACTTTTGTGGCCAGCGGTTTAGACATTAATGGCTGTGTGTTGAGTTATTTTGAGGGGACAGCAAATTTACACCCTTATACAAGCTGTACACTCACTACTTTACATTGTAGCAAAGCGTCATTTCTTCAGTGTTTTCACATGAAAAGATATAATAAAATATTTACAAAAATGTGAGGGGTGTACTCACTTCTGTGAGATACTGTATATGGGGTTGGTTTCCTTTTTAACAAAAATGAGACATTATTCAGGCATCTGCTCCTCTTCGTGTCACTTCTGGTCAGAGCAGCAGAGTTGCTTCAGGTTCAGACCCACAGACAATGTCTGAATATCTACACCATCTTGCCAGCTTCTATTGAAAGAATCTATTGAAGCAGATATCAAAGACAAAAAAGACAAGCAATGCCATCTAAAAGCTTTTTTCAAAACATTCTGGCTTGTATTGGAAAATACGGTGAAGGATTTACACCTTTTTTTGTCTGTGTTTCAGCATTTTGAGGTCTGCTGTGCAGATTGTTGCAATGAATTCTGGGAAGACAGGGGCAGCGTGCGTGCTTATAAATACAGAAAGAATGAAGAATGTTTTAAGCTCAGTAGATCAAATTCAGAAATGTCATTTGATTAGCTGTTTAGACATTTTTTGTCTAAATATTTTCACTCATCTGGAAAAACTTTAAAGACTTCAGCTCTTAGAACTCAATGAACAGTAACAACATCTTGAGTCAGAAACTTGCCTACAAGAAGTCCAGGTTAAGCTGGTTTATATATTATATCATATTATATTATATATTAAGCAGTCCAAAAGTAGATAAGAAAGTAGAATAATTATGTTGAGTTATGCTGAAACTAATTTTCCCTTCTAAAAGATGACCAAAAACCTACAAAATATAAGATTATACAATAACACCAATAATATAATTGTGAATAACTATCCTTGCCCTGTCCTGTAAGAAATTCTTATGAAGAAACAGGTCATGTGTTTCTGAGTGCAGATTGGTCAATATTCTGAGTGCGATTGGCTATTATCTGATCTGATCAAATAGCATGTAAGGCTTTTTTATTATTGTTTTATGGATTTTTTTGGAGAATCTTGGATAATAAGTGGAGTATCTCAATGTGTCTCACTTTCTAACCTTTTACTTAAGGCTCATTAATGGCAGATTGACATGGAAGGATGGTGTACATTTCAGCGGTGAGACTTAAAGAGGGCCAGACTTGTGATTTATTTCGCTGATTACTATGTCAGTCTAAAGCCATCCTGGATCTGCCTTCTATCTCCCTGTTCTTGATATGGATTTGCTATTTGTAAATTACTACTGAATTAGGTTGAATTATTTTGTAACAGTATTGTAGATGCAAAATGATGGCATTTGGTTCTTTACTGATTATCTGGTTTTCACTGCTTTGAAAATAGTAGGATTTTGCTGCAGTTGTAGCGTGTTTATTGTAATTTTATATAATAGTTACATATATTTCTAACCTTTATTCTTGTTGAGTATTTATATGTACCAATTTCTGGATACATTTCTGTTACATTACCACTTGATTATAATAATATTTGTCATGGTCTAATAAAGAAGCCCTGGACAGTGCTTGTACTTAGATGGAAGCATAACACTTTAGTTGGTCAGACGCAAAGACAGGTCTTCTATACTAAAGGTTAGATGCAAAAGCATGTCTCTTATGCCAAAGATGTAGCATGTTTCCATAACATCATTCATTTACATATACATTTCACCATGATTGATAAGCAGAGTGGATAATGACAGCATCAGTCTATCAGCTGTTGCTTTTTGTAAGGCAACCCTGTGCGATCAATCAGCAGATTGTAAATCTGTGCACAATTCACTTCCATTTCTTTAAATTGAGAAGACATAACATTTTCAAAAGGATTATTTTCATAGGATTATTTCATAGAGTTTTCATTATTCAAGTGAGTGAAGAGTTTCTCCCTATTAGAGTGAGCAAGGAGAGGTCTGCTCCAATGACCTAGAGCCACATGCCATGTAGCTGCAGGATTATGCAGGTATTTCAACCATGTAGGTGTTTAAATCAAAGTCGAGCCCGGTCTAGGGGAGGGTGGGAGGGCTTGTTTGAGACTAAGTTAGGTGGGGAGGGCATGTCTTTGAAATATGGTTGGGAGAGCGCATGCTAACTTTTCTCCTCGCCATTAGACGTCCAGGTTTGGTGTGTCATTGGTTGCAGCCCAGAGCTGGCACCAGCTCAAAGGGGATGTTGAGAAATGCAATCCATATGGTGGCACTATAAAATCTAGCACGGACCACAACCAAAGACCAAGATCTTTTCAGGACATAGCATCAATTCAAAAACCACCTTTCCCATAGAGCCTGAGGATATTTGCTCTCCAAGACGCCAAGGGGACCAGGACCAGTTACTTTAAGGGGTGAGTGTTGATCTTTTCAAAACTTGGGCCCTCCATGATAAAAATGGTATTGCTTTGAATCGTCCTTTTGAGGTTTATGCAGACTGTTCCCATTTGGCCTTTTTTAGGGAGGTCCTGTCGGATTTGATATGAATATTCTGTGTCATGTTATGTTCCTGCTTCTGCTGGGAGTCATTTCTTGTCAGAACAACAATCGCAATGCCAAGTCAGGTGGAAAACCTGCAAAGAAGCCTAACAGCCAGGCTATAGAGATGACCCAGCATGGCCCTGAAGATGACCCAAACCCTGCACTAGCAGGTGCTGGCGATTCCAGTAAAGAAACTAACACTGGAGGTCGTGGCACTGCCCAACAAAGCGCATCTGTCAACAAGCCTGTTGATGAAATGAAGCTGCACTTTCTTAAGAACACATTAGTGACATGCAACGATGGTACAGCCGCTGGGTAAGACACAGCACTGACATCCGCACTGCTAGCCAGAGGTGCATAAACTTGGCAATTAGTATAGCACCTCGGTCATGGGTTTGATTCCCAGAGGATAAATTAACTGGTAATATTTAAACATTTAATGCAATGTAAGTCACTTTGGAAAAAACATCTTCCAAATCATAAATGTACCAAATTGTTGCAGTTTTGCAATGTTAAGTTAAATATCAGTCCTTTGACAGTTTTGTAAATGTCCTCATATGGCTATGTTCCCTAGACCATCTATATTTATTTGTGGCCCACAGGTTTTACCTAAAGGAGTTCAAAGGAAGTAAGAGATGGCTGATATTTTTGGAAGGTGAGTATTTAAAACAAAGTTAATTTTGTCGAGAGAGGTCAGCAGGCTTAAATGCAGTGCTCAGCGTTATTTTGACGGCTGGTCATCTTCTTAGACATGTAATTTTAATAACAGGCTTACATGGATTCATTGTAAACTTGGCTGTTTTTGTTACTTAAAGACTCATTTTAAAACAATAAAATAATACTGTAGTAAGTGTATCCTCTCTACTGCAAGTTGTTGTTTTTTTATGGATAATGTGAGGTTAATTCCAATTATCTCTTTTAGGTGGCTGGTGCTGCTACAACAAAGAGACCTGCGATTCCAGATACAAAACTATCCCTCGTCTGATGAGCTCAACTGACTGGCCACAGACGCGCAAAGGTAGGCTGATATTAACCAGACTCACAACAACACATCTTGCTTTCTTCTAGCTAGTCATGCAAGCCATACTCAAGTGATTCTTAATGAAAACCACCTCGCTGATTATTTGCAGGGACTGGATTACTATCAACACAAGTTGATGAAAATCCTCACTGGTATAATGCCAATATTGTGTAAGTATCTAAAAAAATTCAATAGTGATATTTGGGGCTGGGTTTTGACACAAATTTCACGATTCGATTCTCATTCACAAGCTTGCGATTCGATTCGATTACCGATTCGATTCGATTCAATGTCGATTATTTTGGATATATATATATCAGGGACAGGACATGCCAAATTTTCTCAAGGTAAAAAAATAAACTAAAATATACATGAGAGTCAGTTGGTAATACATTACTATAATATTGAAGGTTAAAACTGACTGATTTGTTAAAATTACACTTAATGAAGTTTTAAAATAATAAATTTACAATTACATAATAATATTTCTACAATTCGCTTTTTTTTATATATATAAACATTGGTGGCTGTCATAAAAATTTATGGATTTATTAAAACATAAATTAAACATTGAAGAGCAGTAAAATTTATAATGAATCTGTTATATGGTGCATATATTTAGCAAAATGCCCCTCTCTGCAGTTTATTTTTCTATCTGATTAATGCGTTTATGGTCACCTTTATATAAGCTTTGTAATTAATACATAGCTGACTTACTTGTCTGACGTCTCTTATCTAATGTGACTAGGTTTGTTCCCTATTGTTCAAGCGATGTGTGGAGTGGTAACAAAGCAGCATCAAAGTCCAAACAGGGAAAAGAAACAGGTAAATTTTTCAGACTATTAACGGTTTTTGTTACCAAAATTAGGACTCTATATTTTATTTATTCCACCACAGAATATGCTTTCATGGGATCTCAAATCATTCGGGAGGTGATCAAAGATCTTGTCCAAAAAGGACTGAAACAAGCCAAAGTTGTGATGTTGGCAGGAACTAGGTGAGATCTCTGGCTATGTTACCAAATTGTTCTAGTCTGGAGAAAAAAATAGTTATGACATTGGTTTGTATCCATTTTTGCATGTTTCTTAAATAATGGGATGCATTTATAGTAAAAGAGAGTTTTCCTTGCTGTTTGGCCTGGAAGAATTGTTTGGAGTTTTTACAATTATTATTAATAATAATAATAATTGTTTCTTTAGATAATTATACTTGTGGCTGCTCTGCAATTTGTTTCCTCAATCCAAGAACCATAGCTATTATAAATCCCGTAACTGGATTTGAATTCACTTATTAACAAATATAACACTAGACCCCCGTTACACCTGTTGCTGCATATTGAGATCTAATAACAAGATGCTATGAACAATTGAAACAGAGCCATCTGGAGAACCATGAAATCCTATTCCCGTCCATGGACCACCCCTTGAGTTTTACCACAACACTGACTGAAGCACTATTTTCAGCACATCCTGTTGTCTACCATAAAAAATGTTTACTGCAGCCTGTAATGCTGTAGACAATGACATAATATCTATATGTGTCCTGTCAAGGAAGTAAAACAAGCTCTGAGGATTCTTCCAATGTTAGCAACATGTTTTGTTGGTTATTCCTAAGCATTTGTTGAAGCCATTTGATATTCAGAACAATATTTGTAGTTCACTAGTTTGACAAACTAGATTTTGAGGGTTGAGGTAATATTTTGGGTAATATTATTTATTCTTTCCTGCAGTGCCGGGGGAGCAGGTGTCCTGCTGAACATTGATAAGGTGTCCAGTCTTCTGGAGCAGCTGGGTGCAGACGCTCAGGTGCGCGGCCTTGTTGACTCAGGCTGGTTTCTGGAGAGTAAACAGCAAAAAGCTCCTGATTGTCCAGACAGTGCCTCCTGCACCCCTGTGGATGCCATAAAAAAAGGACTTCGGTAAAGTGTACATGCTAATCTCAATTTACCAGAATAATGAATATGTAGTTTTGGTCACAACTTAAATTAGCCTACAGTTTCAGTATTAAACAAATCCATTTTAAATTAATTGATTGCATTAGCAATAACCATAACATCCCTTCTAAAAAGATGTATACTTCAGCATAGTTTTAAGAAGAGTACTTACTATGGAAAATAATACACTTTAAAAGAATATACTTAAGTGTGAACTGAATGTAATGTTTTCTGACACTTAACTGCATGTTATTTACAATTAAATGAAAATGTTGTCCTTGTTACAGTATAATTATACATTGAAGTAGTGAATAATATGAATTAATATGTACTTACTATAGTTTTAGGATTAGGGTTTGGTTTACAGTTAGTTGCATATAATTATGCCTAATTTACTTTTAGTAATTAGTACTTTTACTTTTTACTTTTAGTAATAAGTAAGTACATGTAACCTGTGTAACAAGGAGACTGTAAAATGAAGTGTTACCAAAATGTATTAAAGTTTCAATTTATATGAAATGCAATTATTTCAGTTGTAGTTTAAATATGGCTAAAGTGTACTGCTGAATTTAATGTCATTTCTATGAAACTTGTGTTTAAATATATTTGTAATTATACATTTAAAATGATGAAGTTGCAGTTTAATAAATTTAAAATATAGTTATGTAATGTAACTTTAAATGTAATATCGAATTACACACTACAGTAAAAATTCTAATCAAGTACTTTACATGTGCTTTAGCACAGTTAGTACATTAAAATAATAAATGTACTTTAAAATATGACAAAACAGTATTAAAACTGATTTAAAATGTACTTTAAAGTAAAACTTTTAATTTGACATTATTATAAAGTGCACTTTTTAGAAACATACTTAAGTGTTATCAAACATTCATAAAAATGTACTCTCTTTAAGTTTGCTTAATTGGCCCTTTATTTCATTAATATAATATTATCTGCAAGTACAGATTTTTTTTAAATATGCTTTTGAGATTTGATCTACACTACAAGTGCACATTCGATATAATTAAGCACGCTTCATTTTCACAAGACAAAAAAAAAAACCTTCAAGTACATGAGATTAATGTTATTGCTTATACTTAGGATTAGGCATTTGTCTTCATCTTCAGTGCATAACTCATCCTATACATTTTTCCTGCAGACATAAATGAAATCTCAAAATGCACTGCTTGATCATTATTATTTTTTTGATGATATTATATCTCTGTTAGGTTGTGGAGTGGTGTTGTTCCAGAAAAGTGCAAGCAAAAATATGCTTTTGAGATTTGATCTACACTACAAGTGCACATTCGATATAATTAAGCACGCTTCATTTTCACAAGACAAAAAAAAAACCTTCAAGTACATGAGATTAATGTTATTGCTTATACTTAGGATTAGGCATTTGTCTTCATCTTCAGTGCATAACTCATCCTATACATTTTTCCTGCAGACATAAATGAAATCTCAAAATGCACTGCTTGATCATTATTATTTTTTTGATGATATTATATCTCTGTTAGGTTGTGGAGTGGTGTTGTTCCAGAAAAGTGCAAGCAGCAGTATAAAAGAGGCGAGGAATGGCAATGCTTTTTTGGACATAAACTGTACTCCTACATAACCGGTGAGGGTGTGCCATCTGTGCGATATAAATGACATTTTTTTACAGAAGTGGCTGATGTTAATAAGACTTACTTCCTTTAAAATAACAGAGGATATGTCTCTTTTTAGCTCCACTGTTTGTAGTGCAGTGGTTGTTTGATGAGGAACAGTTACGAGTGGAGAACATTTATATGGGCAGCCAATCGCTCTCAGAGCAGCAATGGACCTACATGCAGAACCTGGGAAAAGAGTTTAAAAGCTCTCTCAAAGATGTTACGTGAGTAAATAACTAGCATTAATATAGTAGTATCTCACTTAAACTAGCCAAATATGTCTCCAGAATAGCTAAATAGTTACTAATAGTTGAACAATCATGTCAAAATCATGTCAGCAAAAGTAATTTACAATTTAACCTTATTACAATTTTACCTTTAAACATTTTTTATTTTTTTTGCTTAAGGCTGTTTGTTTTCTGTGTATTAAAAATGTCCTGCTGTATGTTGTTTTAGGGCCGTGTTTGCCCCCTCCTGTCTTTCCCACACTTTGATTACCAAAAGGTAAGGACATGCAGGCACCCTGAGACACACTCCTCATGGGTGAGCTCATACGCCTGCATTTGAACACTCGTCCATCATGATGCATTCTAGGTGTCACCAAAATGTCACCTCATGATTTCACACTTAATTAATGGCCGCTCTATGAGCTCAGCTGAGAGAGCACTGGGACAGATGATTTGTGAGGAGAACCATGGCAAAACACATGATGAGGTCAAAGTTACAGCAGAGCTATAGCTGCTTATAAACAGAATGATTAGACTACTGCTAATTAAACTGCCATTTAGTTAAAGCTTGTTTCTAAAGCAACTTGCTACAGAGACAGTTGTCAGTTAAGTTTCCGAGGGGACGCAGAATGACTTAGATTATTATTCATATAATTAGTATAACCATATTTAATTAATATAATATATATCATTAATATTTCATAGTGATATAAATTACCTAACTTAATTAAAATGAAAAAAAGATGCTTTTGAAAGAAGTCTTTTATGTTCACCAGGGCCTCATTCCTTTATATAAAAACAGTAAAACAGTAATATTGTGAAATATTTTTACCATTTAAAATAACTGTTTTCTATTTATATATATTTTAAGTAATATACGATGTTTTAGACACATGCTATCTCAGTGTGTGTGTGTGTGTACTTGGTATTTGTTATGGAGACCAAATGTCCCCACAAGAATAGGAAAACCAGGAAAAACCATTACGTCTATGGAATGTCCCCATAAAACATGAAAACCCAACGTGTGTGTGTGTTTTACTGGAATTGAGTGTTTTGATTTGCCTGAAGAGCACAGAGAAACCAAATGACAAACATCACTATAGGTTTCATGAGTAGTTGGCTAATGGAAGCTTGTGAATTCTGCACCTTAAAAACGTGTCTTTGACCATTTAAAATGACAATGGAATCTGAAGGGGAATGGCACGGTAGCAACTTTACATGACAAAAACACTGTGGTTAGATGACTGAACTGATCTGTTTGAAATGTGATTCTTGTTCCAACCCAGAATGATTTCCGTGTTACATTTTTGTGCTTAACCACAATCTCATCAGATATCTTATTTCTACTCTCTAGGTTAGCTGTATTGTTGCTTTCAATCATACCACCATCTCATTGAAAAGAAAACTAAAATCAACTAAATGTATTCCTGAGCAGAACATTTTGGAGTGGAATTTCAAGACTTCTACATTCTTGTTTGAAGTGCAGTTGTATTTTCTAGGCAGATATATGTTTTAGAATTGCACTTAGTTTCTTACATTTCTTTAAAGGAGAACATTATTTTAGGCTTGATGTCAATGTCTGGCGGATCTGCAAGGTTTTGTTTTCCATGCAACTTCCTAAAAGATTCAAGCGGAGAATTTGAGTGGTAGTTTCATGAGTAAAAAAAATAACCTTATGTTTTCACATACATGATTAAGCGAAGACATGACTAAGAAACTTCCCAGAAGAGTTAGAACACATCCTGATAAAGGGGAATTTCACTGTTACATCCATGTATATAAACAATTCATTTTGAGAGGAACACAACGGTGAGGGAAACAGACCATGTGTCACAGTACAGACAAGCCTGTTCACACCAGTGAGTAGTTTGACTAACGGTCTGAGGTCTCTTAAGGTTATCTAGCTAATTGTGAAAACACAAACTCTACTACATTTAACAGACTATGTCTAGTGAATAGCTAAAAACTTGGACTGAAATTAAAATAGAAAAGATCATTTGTGCTCACATCCATGATACAATATTAAGGAGTATATTGCATCTCTTGGTTGTTCTTCTGATTAAAATGTTTTATGCATAATATGTAAATATTCAGTGTATTCATACAATGTAGTCAAAATATTCATTTGCAAATTCTGAAGCATTTACTTTTAACATGCTTTTGCTAACATAATAGAGATGCTGGCGGCCATAAACTACTAAAGAGCAGCTATGCAAGCATTGCCTCATCTCACAACCAATAATCAGAATCAGAATGAGTTTTATTGCCAGGTATGTTTACACATACGAGGAATTTGTTTTCATGACAGAAGCTCCACAGTGTAACAGAATGACAGTGACAGAACAAAAACACAGATAATAAAAAATAGAAAAATAGAACAAGTAACTAAGGAATAAAAATATACAAATCGACAATTGTATGTACAGGTATATAACAATAGACAGTTGTATGTACAGGTATATTATGTGCAAATTGAAATGTAGACTGAGTGTGTGTGTTAGATAAATATATAATATACCAGTATATAATGGTTTGTATACTGGAATTCTATAATATGTAATTTGCAACTAATTTAAATGCACAAAAGAAATCCTTTTTTATTTTAATAGATAGTAAATACCCAATAAAGACATAGATCTTCTTGATACTTAATTGGTTTAACAAGTAAAATCAGTAAAGCGATCAAGGGTTTTTGGGTTTCTCAGGTTTGAGTTGCTTATCTCCAATCATTTGACATACCAAGATAATTTATTGTGGTTTTGATAGGTTACATCTTCCTGTTTTTTATTAAAACCACAGTCAACACTTTCTCTCAAGCTTCTATGAATTGACATACAGATACAGAGATGTATCTAACAGTGATCATAGGCCATTGTTTTAAAGTGCACATGCTTGCGTGCACTTTGGCAAACTTTCTGTGTAACAGCATGCATTGGTTTGTTTTTTACTAGGGGTGGTTTGAGAAAAGGGAACTTTCATTGGTGTGTTGTTTTCTTTTCTGATTTTGGGTGGGGGGATGTGTGCTCCTTCTCTCTCTCTCTCTTTCTTTGATGAAACTCAAAGCTTGACAGCTACAAACAGTCTATGACCTGCATTTAAAGAATACAAATTGGCTTGCCATTGCTCAGATTATCTTGAATGTAACCTTTTTGTTTAGTCTTAATTTTTATGACATATTTTTTAATCCACTGCATGCATGTGTGTTTATATATATATATATATAGATAGATAGATAGATAGATAGATAGTTCAACCTTAAGGCCATTTATCAGACATTAACAAAACAAAAAAATAAAAAAATCCCCACAAACACCAGTGGTTTCTGTATAAACAGGTAAGTGTACAGGTGATTGTACCAATGAGGTTTATTCACAGTTTGAGTGAGCTAACTACAACAGTGCCTTCACCACGCAAATCACCTGAGTTGTGGCCGAAACACGTCTTCCTGCTTAGGCCTCTTTTCCTGGCAGCAATGTACACACAAACCCACAATTGCACACGTGCAGCAGTGCGACTACCTGTGCAGAGTTGAAACTTGGTGGGGGAGGGGAGGGGACGGTGGGGGTGTTGCCAGTGATTGAGGACAGAGAGCTTTAAAGAACCAGAAAAAGGGGGGCGGGGGGAAGCATATTAGATAAATTGTTGTTTTATAGCATGTGCTCATTTATAGTCTGCACTGCTGTTCAGGATTTTGACATAACTTGTAAAACATTGTAAAACACTACAGAATAGTCAGAGCAAACCAGGAGTGCTGTGACACGACACTTACAAAAATCATGCTTTCCCATGATCAAATAAATCTCTTTTTTTGTAAGTAATTATAACTGTGTCATCATAATAAAGATAAAACATCTAAATCTGAACCCTATTAACACTTGGGTCACATTGTATAAAAGCAGTTTTACCATGTGTCACAGTACTGTAGTGTATCAGTATCTAATAAATGACTATTAGGCCTATATTGTCAAAACTCACTTATTATGATGCAATGTTTAAGCAGACAGTGAAAATACTAAAAGATTACAAATAGATAATGCATTTTGTTTTAAATTATTACTTGTTGGTTTAATTTAATGATCAGCTGGTAAGTAATTAAAATAGGATGAATATAATAGGCACAATTTTATGGTTGTGCAAAGGTAAGAAATGAAGTTGTTTTTCTTGAAACACCGTGCAGGTTGTGGTGAAAACCCTTTCCTCTGGTCTTGGCTTCAGAGTTAAAAGTGGCTCTTCACCTTTTTAACACAGCAGATGCAGAGCTCTCGTAATCACTGTGTTGTTAGCAGTCCTGGCGAAACATTCAAAGAGAAAGTCTTACACCATGCATGCGTTTACCGGTAAGCCTAGAAATTAATCCATTGAATTATGCTATTAAATGTATCAAATAGCTGTACAAATGTATAAAAATATAAAGGATTTGGTCAAAGAAGAGAAAGGATAAAAATGTTTTTTTTTTTTTAACTTTTACTTGTCTATGAATGAAAACTATAATTTTGTGCACTTTCTGACACATTGTGTTTTTCATTGACAGTTATTTGTCCTTTGCTGCTGATGTGGTCGTGCCACATAAAGGTAATTCATGCATTAAACCAAGACTAACTGCACTTACCTTTCATTTTAACCTCTAAATCCAGAGAATAGTTCACCCTAAAATGGAAATTCTGTCATCATTTATTCACTCTACTCATAGTTCCAAACTTGTATGACTGACATGCTTTTGTGGAACACGAAAGAATTTGAGGGTGAATGAAAACAGTCACCAATCACTTTCATTGCGCACGTTTTGCGCACAGTGAACATGAATGGTGACTGAGGCTGTCGTTCTGACATCTTTTGTATGATAAACAAAAAAAAAGTAAATCGGTAACACTTTACAATAAGGTTCCATTAGTTAACGTTATTTAATGTTTAAACTAACATTAGCTTGCAATGAGCAATACACTTGTTACAGACAGTATTTGTTAATGTTAGTTCATGTTAGCTCAGGAGCTTTAGAAGATTTTTTTAATTGTTAATGCAAACTAATCTATAACAAATGGAACCTTGTTGTAAAGTGTTACCAGAGTTTGGAACAAGATGCCAGAATTTCCATTTTTGTGAGAACTATTCATCAGACTTCTGGAGGACTACTTGTTTATCTGCACATCTAGTTTTGAATCCAACCTTGTATAGTTGAATGGGTTCCTCAAACACTTGGCAGCTAGTTTCATGAGCACAGTTAATCTCTAAACAGGAATCATGTACAGATTTAGACTGTCTAGAGGTTGTAAATGTATAGGATAATGATGCCTTTTGCTGAGTAACTCATTCCTTGAGAGGTTTTTATGAAGCTTCTGCATTACCTTTATTTCAGAAAAGCTGGTCCAATGAGACTACTGAAAGCCATTTGGGAGAAAACTTCACATCAGAGTTTGAGTATTCCACAGAGGCCGTGGATTACAGCGAGCTTGAATTAATCTGCGATAGAGGCTCCAACCGTTCCTTCCGTGCATGGTTCCTTCCCACTATCTACACGATCATCTGCCTCATGGCCCTCGTGGGAAACTTTCTGGTCATCCTAACCTACCTTTACTTCAAGAGGCTGAAGACGATGACTGACGTCTACCTGCTCAATCTAGCCATGGCTGACCTGCTGTTTGCAATTTCTCTCCCCTTCTGGGCAGCTAGTTTCATGAGCAAGTGGCATTTGGGTCTGTATCCATGCAAGGCCATGTTCACCATCTACAAGGTCAGCTTCTTCAGTGACATGTTCCTTCTCACCTGCATCAGCGTAGATCGTTATTTCTCCATAACAAAGGCCGTCTCTGCTCATCGCTGTCGCTCCAGTGCAGTCTTTTATGGACAGGTGTCTTCTCTAGTAACGTGGGTGATGGCAGTGATCTTTTCAGTACCCGACATGGTGTTCTCTGAAGTCAACATCAATGGAACTTGTACAGCAAATGGCAACAACTATGAAGCCTACCGCATTAGGATGCTGGTAAGTCAGATGGTCCTGGGTTTTATACTTCCAACGGTTGTCATGGGGTTCTGTTACATCTGTATCATCAAGACCCTTATCCAAGCCAAGAACTTTGAGAGGAATAAAGCCTTCAAGGTCATCATTGCAGTGGTATCTGTCTTTGTGTTCAGTCAACTACCCTACAATGTAGTCATGGGAGTGACCACTCAGGACACAACGGATTGCAACAAGGACAAGACTCGTCTTTACGCTTTGGATGTGACCAGAGCCGTGGCCTTCTTGCGCTGCTGCATAAACCCCTTCCTGTATGCCTTCATTGGGGTAAAGTTTCGCAATGATCTCCTGAAGCTACTGAAAGACTTGGGATGTATCAGAAAGAGCCACCTCATGTACACCCACTGCGGTAAACGAAGATCCTCTGTTGGCCTGGACACGGAAACCACAACAACGTTTTCCCCCTGAACGCTCCTATCTGTTGAGGAACAGATTCCAAAACAACAAAAATGTCTTGCCAATTTACTTCTGTTACATAGTGGTAAATCACTTCATAGCTCCATTCAGAGCAAACTGCCTGTGGAGGACTGTATGTAGACATATACTGACATACTACAATTTCTGCTATGCAGTGTTACTAGTGACTTACTGTACAAAAACTTCCTGCTTTGTAACAATAAGCTTTTCACTTCTTGTTTTTCATTGCTCTAGGAGAGAAAAAATGTCATTCACTCTTTGTTATATGATATAACCATTTTGTGTTCAATATCTTGTTCTCAATACCAATATATGTCTATACTGTATATTATACATGCTTTCAAAAATGAGATATCGTTAAGGCTAACTATCCACCAATATGTGGAAAATCAGTTAGCAACATAATCCTCTTTCATGGTTGAAATTCTTTCAAATATTCATTTTCTTTACTCTGTCTGAGATGTTATAAAACTGAATAAATATACATTTTCTGAAATAACTGACTTGAGTTTTGTGTGTTAGAAACAGCTGCACAACAAAATAGTTTCACCCTCTTCAGTCGTGTGCTTAGGTACAAAATATATGTAACATTCAAATAAAAACCGAGGCGAGCCAAAGGAGAAATACATTTAGAAACTACAAACATAGAATATAAACATAGAACATTGTTCACTATGAACTATTCCATCCTTTGGTTTCTCACCCCCCTTACTAGTTAGTGAAGAAGACATTTATGCTCATTTGTCTGTGGTCACAGTTAGTAATATGTTATGTATGTGGTTATGGTGAGTCTACGTTACACTTAAAGTGCCCTGCTTGCAGAAAAGCAATATACTGCTCAGTTCAGTTCTCATTTATTCAGTTTTAGATACTGACCAAAAAAAAGGTTTAAATTACATATGTAACCCACAAAAACACTTTACTAAAGAGCAAAGTTACTAAAGAACAAAAAAGGTACAAAGCTGTCACTGGGGCAGTACCTTAAGGTACAAAAGCTAAAAGGTACATCTTGTAACTTATTTACTCCTAAATGGTAGGTATTAGTACTTTAAAAGTACATATTAACGTGCAGGCCTAAATTAGTACCTTTTGAAAGTGTACTGCCCCAGTGACAGCTTTGTACCTTTTTTTCTGAGATTATATTGAAAGAATATTGAGAGTTGTGTGCTCTGCTGGCACTCTTTAAGTTAAACAGTGTAAATGCCAAGGGTCAAGGTTATTTTCACAAATTGCAAGATATGATATTTTACATATGCACACTTGGCTTTTGGATAGTCATTAGTGAAGGGCTTAGGGCTTGTCTCTAAAGAATCTGAACTGAATACACATGAGCAAAGAGATCCAGGGAATCTCAAGTTGAGAAAGTGCTATTGCTATTACACACATCTTGGTTTAATAAATGAAAGAAAGAAAGTGTATATTTATCAATAGTTAATTTTACTAACCGTGTTTGTCTTGCTTTATTCTCATCTAATAAATGAATTGGCACCCAAACCTCCTTTTTTTTGCACATCTAGTTAGGTGTTGGTGCCTTACTGCTTAACATTAGATTAAGAATGCAAATATTAGTTGTGGCTTAGACCTTTTAACCTTTCACCTTTGAAATATTGATATTTGATATTTTAACTCCAGGTAACTTCAACAAGACTACACCGGCACTGGAACATTTTAAATATTGTATCTTTGTTCATGGGCACATGAGGCGCTGTTTTTTTAAGCAAAATTGTAAATGCTCTGTAGATTTGCATGAACATTATGATAAGGCTGACATGACAGTGCATGCTGATTCATCTTTACAACCAAAGTCAAATCACATCAGGAAGGCCTCTGATCGATACTAGCTCAGAGCAGTCAGAGTCAGCATATAGGCTATCAAGTGTGTTCTGTAGGTTACATTGGGGCTATAACATAGAAGTCTGTCGTTTTCACACGGAAGGTCCAGTTATGACATTTTGATTGAACATTACAAGGTCAATAAAATTAAAATTATACACAATAAGATCTATGAATTCATTTCATGCCGATTATAATGCCATCAGACTGCAGTGGGGACAGAAAGGTCAAGAATTTAGGGAATTGTCAGAAACAGATTCAGTACAGAATAGAGTTTAAAACTAATTTAAATAAGGGTCATTTCATTTGTAATGTTAGTAGCAGTGTTGGGGAAAGTTACTTTTAAAAGTAATGCATTACAATATTGCGTTACTCCATAAAAAAGTAACTAGTTACGTTACTTAGTTATGTTTGAGGTAGAGGAAGTGCAGCGAGGAACACAGGGGAATAATATAGATAAAAATCTACAGTAGGAGCTTCTTGGGCCTGAAAGCAAAACTTGTAACAATGTAAAACCTAAGATTGATATTCTAAGCAATGTGAGAAATGTTTAAGATTTTTTGAATTTTAATGCCATGCAAAAAAATGTATGGACAAAAATCGTATTGGTTTATAAATAACTAAAGGTTATGCAAAAGGACAATACACTCATAGTGTCTCTCACAGCCTTTCTTTCACAGTCTTTGCGAACAGAATCAACACCTAGATCTCAGATGTTGTTTTATTAATAGACTGATATTACATTAGGTAGAGCTAATGTCAATCAATAAATTGGATAAAAAAAGTAACTTACGTTACTTATTTGAAAAAAGTAACTCAGATATTCTCTTGTTACTTGAAAAAAGTAATCTGATTACGTAACTCGCGTTACTGTAGGCCGTTTTAACGTAAGTTGTATGGCAGGCGAGGATCTGTTTTAAAAAGCTATAGGCTATGTGTATTCTCATAAGAAAAGGAAGCACGTTTTCAAGCAGTTTTTACATCAGAAATTTCTAACATCTAATGTTTACGAAACGTTGTACAGTTATGATATATATCAGGGCTCCTCAAATCTGGCCCACGAGATCCACTTTCCTGCAGAGTTTAGCTCTGACCCTAATCAAACACACCTGAGCATGCTAATCAGTGTCTTCAGGATCATTAGAAAATCACAGGTAGGTGAGTTTGATCAGGAGCGCATTGGCCCTCCAGGGCAAGATTTGAAGAACCCTGATATATATATATATTATGTACGTCTGGCAAGACCTGATATTTGTCTTTGTCATTCCTCTCAGTCACGTGAGTGCAAACCACCGTAATTATAAGCTCTTGTGAGTCACCTGCCGGCTTCAGGTCTTGACGGGGAAACACCAGATAACTTGAAAATCAAGTCCTCTGAACACCTCTCGTGCTCATTTTGCCACGAACAAGAATCGTGCGAATAGATAGGTGCTTCTGCTGCAGTGTAATCAAACTCCTGTCAAGCAGGCACACGCTCATGTGACGCTACATCAGAGTCGCATACATGTTCACAGAGCTGGAGGCGTTTCAGCTTGAGGAATGCTTTGAGGCTTGTTACAAGGTGCAACGTAAATGTAATGTTAATTAACAGTATATATGCTGATATAAAAACTGCTCATTAATGTTGTTAACCACAGCTTTCAATGAACTTCGATAGTTTCTAAATTAATCATTATTTTTATATATATATATATATATATATATATTTTTTTTTTTTTTTTTTTTGTTGTAGCAGTTTGAGCAATAAAGATATGAACAAAGATCTCTTATAGCATTTGTGTGAGTTTAGTGAATAATGCATGTGTTTATTGTTAGTAGTGTTTTAATTTAAACAAGGTTGTTGGGTTTTGTTCATCCCTCTTGTGAGAAAAATGTGAGCTTAATTATATTAAGTGTGCACTTATAGTGTACTTCAAATCTCAGTATTTGTAATTGTACTTGCAGTGTATTGAAGATAATTTAATATGCGTCCACTTATGTGTACTTACAGAGAGTACACTTTCTCTGAATAATGTCAAATTAAGTTTTACTTTAAAGCACATTTAAATAATGTTTTAATCTTTTGCCATGCATTAAGTGAAGTGTTGACTAACATACTAAAGCACATGTAAAATACTTGATTATAATTTTAACAATAATGTTAGATGTTAGATTTAAAGTTAATATTTTAAATGCACTATTCTGTACTCACAAGTATATTTCAACACATGACAAATTTCAAAAGTAATTATCTTGAAGTATTTTTAAGTTTATATTAAATGCTTGTCAGTACATCCAGCAGTACTTTAACAATATTTCAAAGACAATAGAATTATGGAATTACATTAAAGATGTAAACAAGTCCCACTTATTGGGTCCAAAAAAGCACTTTAAAATTCAGCTTTGCCTATAAATTATATACATTTAAACTAAACATTTTCTTTTAACTGTAAATAACATGTAATTAAGTGTCCAAAAACATCACATTTAAGTATATTCTTTTAAATTATATTATTTCTGTAATAAGTACTCTTTTTTAAAGTATGTTATAGTGTACTTCATTTGGTTCAGGGTGAATGTATCCCAGCATTCTAAATCCAACTGCATCTATAGAGTAAATGGCACCTTTAAAATGCTGGAGCTTGTTTGTGTTTCTGCAAGCTCAACTAAATTGATAGTCTCTCCCCAATTAAAAGGTTATATGAAACAATACGTGTGGAAGCAAAAAGAAATATAAACTTACACTTCACTAAAAAAAAAATTCTTACATTTAGCTTATGGCAGGTGTTAATTTCCCATCTTTACAACCAAAGTCAAATCACATCAGGAAGGCCTCTGATCGATACTAGCTCAGAGCAGTCAGAGTCAGCATATAGGCTATCAAGTGTGTTCTGTAGGTTACATTGGGGCTATAACATAGAAGTCTGTCGTTTTCACACGGAAGGTCCAGTTATGACATTTTGATTGAACATTACAAGGTCAATAAAATTAAAATTATACACAATAAGATCTATGAATTCATTTCATGCCGATTATAATGCCATCAGACTGCAGTGGGGACAGAAAGGTCAAGAATTTAGGGAATTGTCAGAAACAGATTCAGTACAGAATAGAGTTTAAAACTAATTTAAATAAGGGTCATTTCATTTGTAATGTTAGTAGCAGTGTTGGGGAAAGTTACTTTTAAAAGTAATGCATTACAATATTGCGTTACTCCATAAAAAAGTAACTAGTTACGTTACTTAGTTACTTTTTATGGCAAGTAATGCGTTACGTTACTTTTGCGTTACTTTTTAAATCTGGACAGAGCTTGCTTGTTTGTTTTTAAAATT